AGACTTTTAACTGTACAGGAGGAACTAGATAAAGCAATTCCGATGAGAAAAAAGGCTGTTCCTTTCCTCAGGAAGAAAGGAAAGAAGAAGAAAGCTTCGACACCAGTGTTTTTTGATTATGCTGAGGCCATCGAATCTGAGAAGAAAATGTTCTCAGACGATGATTACACTCTAGAGACTGAATTTGGAGAAGTTTTCTAAGGTCTGGTCTGGACCATCTAGTCGTGTATATGATAATGGTTTTTTTTTTACATTTATTGGGCTACTTTATTTAAACTATAGATTGCGGATATGATGGAGATATCCATATTTTTTGCTCTTAGATTTATAGCTCTTAAGTTCGTTTATTTACATCATCCACAGATAGATTGCGGATATGACTAAGATATCCATATTTTTTGCTCTTAAATCCTAGTTTTATTTTGAGGCAACGGAGATATCATAAGTTGCGGCTGCGACACTAGTCCTGCCATATAGTCTTGCTTCTAGTTAATCATTATGTACCTGAGACAGCAATGAATTGCGGTTGTGATGTTATCCTACCATATAAATGTGATCTCATACTATGTACCAAATGTGTCTATAGAGAATTATACATGTAAACTTGTTACAGTAAATTAAAAATATATTGTTTTGTTTGTTTATAATGGTCAGTCCACATTGTTAAATAAAGATTAATTATGATATTTTAGTTCTTTTTCGCTTGATTGTTCTTAAAGCTTCCTAGGGTTCTTATTGCTTGCTCGAGGGTAGTTGATTTCGTCTTTTATTTCGAAATATTTCCCGGGCGGGAGTGTTAAGCCAGATACTGAGGTTTCGAAAACAGACAAAATAGTTCTCCTCTTTATTGAGACTTACTGAAAACATATGAGTTGGTATTATCTCATTGGCTATACTAGCCCGGCAACATTATTCAACTCTGCTATTGGTTGATATTTTTGTGAGAGTTACCTGGAATGATAAATCTGATTCATTTGACGAGTAGAGATTGAGCAGTCAACATGTATGTTATACGCTCTACATTAGAATCGTTGTCATGGATTTATCATTTCAGATCTCGCAATGCTTGGTTAGATTATACCCTAGTTTCATTTTACTGGACGCCAGCGTATGTAAGTACGACCTTTGTTTTTTCAAGTTGGTTTAAATTTCCCGCGGAGCAGCAAAAGGAAAATGCCTCATGACTTTCTCAAACTCAGAATTCTAGAACTTTCAGTTTTGCGAAACCACCTATGTCATTCTTTTAAACGTCTTTGTATTTATAGTAACTTTTAGTCAATTCTAAGTAGTATATTTTTGATAGGTCTTTAAAAAGGTAAAGTATGACCTCCCCCTATTATAAACTGAACGAAATAACATTTGATGCCGTGTCATTTTTTGACAGCATTTAATATTGTACGGTTTTGCTTTTCATAAAATTTTTGACAAATTTCGTTTTTCTAAAACAATAACAAACATACAGTTATTACACAGTATGTGCAGTTACCTTAGGTTTAAAAAGTATGAAATAAGTGATACAGGCGCCCACTTTTGAGACTCCAAGTAACATTAAAACTGCTTAGCAGACGACTTTTCAGATTAGATTTAAATTAACAAAAAAATATTAAAAAGTTTACAATTAAAAACAAAGGACTCCTTACAACAAAAATTTAAAAGTAGAACTTTTTCCCCTCGATTAGAATTGTTCTCCAAGGGTACCCCCCCCCCCCCTTATCATGTATGAATCCTGATAGTACCCAGTTAAGATGTCTATTAAACGGAGAAAGAAGATATTGTAAGTTAAACTGTGAAGGGGGAAGATTCCGGAGCACAAAATATCAGAGGGTTGTTGGCCTAGATTTTCTTATTCAATATAGAATACCCTCCGATACAAATACATTCAACAAATTAAATCCCCCCCCCCCCTCCTATCCTCTTCTCATCCCTCCTCCCCCCCCAGTCTCTACCGAAACCAGTGTCGCCCTTGTTTGCTGTGCAGGGGTTGTGGTTTTCGATCGTTTTAACCTCTAGCTATAAATTTTTCCAAAAATTAAAAATTTAATAGTTTTAACTAAGAATTGTAAACCGACTTAGTAAAGGTGGCAAATCAAAATTTCCCCGCGAAAAATCTTATCTGTACCAACTTGACTAATCTAGTAAACCAGGCCGAGAAAATATGTTTTGTCGGCAAGGGATGAAGAAAAAATTGAGAAATGTTAAAGATTTGTTTTACCCCCCCCCCCTAGCCCCTCTTCCGTTCTATTAAATAAAACCTCTCTTCGTAAAACTTATCAGAGCCCCCGCCCCCCAAAAAATGAAGTATCTCTCCTGAAACCTTTTGTTTCAAATTCGAATGAATAGTTTAGTTTTAGCCTATACTATTTAAACCAAAGCAAAAATTAGATTTTGATATTTGATGTTTGATTATAATAAAAAATAAAGTTAAAAGTTTTTAAAAATAAAGTACCCAATGGTAACATTCTTACTTGAATTTTAAAAACATTGATAAATTCTCAAACTGAAGTATCTCTCCAGAGCTGAAAACTTTAGAATGAAATATCCAATTTGAAGATAAAGTTGCTTCTCTGGAGTTTAAATTCATGTGGAGAACAAGCAATATTTAAACTGGATATTAAGAAAAAGAGTGGTTTAAGCCTTAATCCTGATATCCACCATTCTAAAGTTTTCAGCTCTGAAACCTTTTGTTTCAAATTCGAATGAATAGTTTAGTTTTAGCCTATACTATTTAAACCAAAGCAAAAATTAGAATTTGATATTTGATGTTTGCTAAATGATAAATTGGTTTGTGGACGAAGCTCTGATATGCCCTGTCATCAGTATATACAGAATGGATAAGCGAGTCGGAGCGGAGATTAAATTTCAAGATTTCTGACTCCGGGTACAGTTCCGATCCTATACAGAGGAATACTAAGCTAGGATACACTCTTAAACAGATATTTGAGAGAACCTCGGGTCCCGGGGTATACTGGGTATACTATCATCCTCCGGGGGAACCATGCTCCAGGTTCTACAGATATACCACTCAAAACATTTAGGCAGCTTCGTGCCACTCAAAACATTTAAGGCAGCTTCGTGCCACTCAAAACATTTAAGGCAGCATCGTGCCACTCAAAACATAAAGGCAGCTTCATGACACTTAAAAAATTTAAACTGCTTCGGGCCACTCAAAACTTTTAAGCAGCTTCTAAACACTCAAAATATTTAGGCAGCTTTGTACCACTTAAAACATTTAGCAGCTTCGTGACACTTAAAAACATTTAGGAAGCTTCGTGCCACTCAAAACATTTAGGCAGCTTCCTAACAATCAAAACATATGGGCACCTTCGTCCCACTCAAAACATTTAGGCGGCTTTCTGCCAATCAAAAAAATTAGGCAGCTTTGTGCCACTCAAAACATTTAGGCAGCTTTGTGCCACTCGAAAACATTTAAGCAGCTTTCTGCCAATCAAAACATTTAGGCAACTTCCTGCCAACCAAAACATTTAGGCAGTTTTCTGACAATCAAAACATTTAAGCAGCTTTGTGCCGATCAAAACATTAAGGCAGCTTTCTGACAATCAAAACATTTAGGCAGCTTTGTGTCACAATTTTCGTGCCACAAAATCAACCTTCAATCTATAGTTTGAATATTATGCTAGAGCTGGATTTAGTACAGTGTACAATGTACACTACTTGGGTTTTGAAATCAGGACTGTCTTAAAATATTGTAATTGAGTGGGGTGGGGAGGTCTGACATAAAAAGTGCTTTTCCAAAATTAAATGCCATACATGAGAAAAAAAAGTTTCACAAATCAAACCGATTAAATGAATACAATAAGTGAATTAAATGAATACACAACGGACCATACCGTGTAACAAAGAAACAATTACAATTTTTTGTACTTAAAGGTTTCACCCCTCCCCCCCCTCTCCTCCTCCTTATTGGATACGTGCCGCAAATTATGGAACAAAAGTACGAGTTTCCTGCAGAGATTTTATTGGATTAGGGATTGTGTATTTAAGGTGACTGTCGTGGAAATGTTCAGTGACCCTCCATGAGGGACATGTCCGATTCACAAAGGTAACCTTTAATAATGCTTTTGGTCAATAATGTGGGGGAAATAAGTCTTTTGTCTATAGGCTTGATTCCGAAATTTTTATCAATTGTTTATGTAAAAAGAAATCCGTAAGATAAATCTCAATTGAAAAATGTCAATTTAATAAAAAGAGAAACATGCTCATTTATTCTTTATCAGATAAAGGTTTATTAGGTACCATTGTAAATCAGATAAAGGATTATTAGGTACCAATGTGAATCAGATAGAGTTTCATTAGGTACCATTGTGAATCGGATATAGGTTTATTGAATACCATTGTGAAACAGAGGTTAATTAGGTACCATTGTGAATCAGATAGAGGTTTATTAGGTACCATTGTGAATCAGATAAAGGTTTATTAGGTACCAATGTGAATAAAATAAAGGTTTATTAGATACCATTGTGAATCAGATAAAGGTTTATTAGGTACCAATGTGAATAAAATAAAGGTTTATTAGATACCATTGTGAATCAGATAAAGGTTTATTAGATACCATTGTTAATCAGATAAAGGTTTATTAGGTACCATTGTGCATCAGATAAGGTTTACTAGGTACAATTGTGAATCAGATAAAGGTTTGTTAGGTACCATTGTGAATCAGATGAAGGCTTGCTAGGTAATATTGTGAATCATGAATCAGATAAAGGATTATTAGACACCATTGTGAATCAGATAAAGGTTTGTTAGGTACCATTGTGAATCAGATGAAGGCTTGCTAGGTAATATTGTGAATCAGATAAAGGTTTGTTAGGTACCATTGTGAATCAGATGAAGGCTTGCTAGGTAATATTGTGAATCAGATAAAGGTTTATTAGACACCATTGTGCATCAGATAAAGGTTATTATCGTGCATGCCACTTAATAACAAGAGTCACTTGAAATTACAATTTCGGTCTTTATAACTAACAGAAATAATTCGGGAAAATGCTTAAAATCCTTTATTTCTGTGGAAAAATTCTGTAGGAAAAAAACGCTTCACTCCATGATTTTGAAAAATAAAGTACTGACAAAACATAATAATTTTTAAAACCTGTTTCAGAAGTACATTTCTGTGTGTACTGTGTACAATGTACACCATCACACTGTACACGTAAAGTACATTTGTACATAAATACGTACGAATGAGAGTTTAGGAAACAGTGAATAATTTGAGCAATATTGTTCATTTCACCTTAAAAATTAACACCCACCTTCAGAGAAAAAAAGTGTCGAATAAGATCATAGATAAAACTAACTAAGGATTAAGCAGTACACACAAATTTGTAAATTCTAAATTGAATTCGAGTTTCAGAAAAAAAAGCATCGTTGAACCCGAAAAAAATGAGAATTTTACACAATATTAAAAAATTATAATAAAAAATAAAGTTAAAAGTTTTTAAAAATAAAGTACCCAATGGTAACATTCTTACTTGAATTTTAAAAACATTGATAAATTCTCAAACATTGATCATGCATTTTGTGTTTAGTATTAATTACTGACGTGAGATCGGTATCATACTAAAAAAATTGCTGATCGTTTAATTAGTTCATAAGTCATATACTTAAATTGTTTCACGGCGATATTTTAGAAGCAAATTGAAATGCATATGTACAATCTTGTAAAATTGTACAAGAATGAATAATGTACATATTCTAATGTGTCCTACAGTACAGGCAGTATGATGGGCTGAACTGCCGTACAACCTGAAATTGGCATGTAATAGGAACGGGGGGAAGGCAGGCGGCCATGAGCCACCACTATTTCCCCTTCCGCACCACATATTAGCTTTTTTCTCTTCCGGCAGCAATGAGCCACCACTATTTCCCCATCCGTACCACCACATTTGACTACTCCGGGCAAAACTACTTTTTTAAATGGGCCTTTAAAGTGTGATTTTCAAAAGTCAAGCCGCGTCACGAAATAAATATATATTTAGATCTTTATATTTCAATGTTAATATGTAATAAGGATGCTTAATGTAAACTGTAAACATTTTTTTTTGCAAATCTAAGTTCTGATTTTCATAAAAAATGGCTTATTTTTAAGAGCAATATCAATTTTTAAAATGACGCACTAAAAAATACACTTTAGTTTTGAAGGGAACCCTTGTGTGAAAATGTGCAATGATGGGGGAGTTGGTTAATGAGTGATTTTAAGATGGATTTAGTATAATTAGTCAGTAATTGAATAATCCTTAGACTTTGTGATATTTCAAGATGCAATTCTCAGTCAAATTTGTCAAAAATTTCATTGTAAAACATTTTAAGAATTCAAGACACAAAATATTAATCATAGGTAGAATTAAAAAAATGGTTTGAGTTGTGCTTTTTTGCGTGATGCGGCTGGATTTTTAAAAATCACACTTTAAAGGCCCTAAATATACCATTTAAAAAAGTAGTTTTGCCCGGAAGAGTCAAATGTGGTGGTCCGGAAGGGGAAATAGTGGTGGCTCATGGCTGCCGGACGAGAAAAAAGCTAATATGTGGCACGGAAGGGGAAATAGTGGGGGCTCATGGCTGCCGGAAGAGAAAAAAGCTAATATGTGGCACGGAAGGGGAAATAGTGGGGGCTCATGGCCGCCTGCCTTCCCCCGCTCGTAATAGTGTACAGTGGACATTCACAAGGTTGACAAAAATGATGAGAGTTTAATGACGACCTGAAACTTTTTTAAAAACCTTGACTTAAATTTATTTAACTGTAGTTTTTCCAAATAATTAAAAAAAGGCTAACATGACATTACTTCTTCACTTTTTCAACTTCAAAGTTTTGAAGAAAAAAAATTTGCTTAATATTTTTTATATACAGGGTGGGGTTAGGACAGACAAACAGCGGGTCGGTGCTTAAATTAAAAAAATAATCAGAAATTGTTAATGACTTTTTCATTAATCAAGCTACAGGGATAAATTCACAAGGTTGACAAAAATGATGAGAGTTTAATGACGACCTGAAACTTTTTAAAAAACCTTGACTTAAGTTCATTCAACTGTGGTTTTTCCAAATAATTAAAAAAAAGGCTAACATGACATTACTTCTTCACTTTTTCAACAAAAAATTTGCTAAATATTTTTTTATGTACAGGGTGGGGTGGAGGACAGACAAACAGCGGGTCGGTGCTTAAATTAAAAAAATAATCAGAAATTGTTAATAACTTTTTCATTAACAAGCTACAGGGATAAAATCATGTGTCACATGTTAATAATATTTGTCAAAAGTAAAAGAATATTCATTTTTAAACATTTCCGACGTAATTTTTAAACTTTTTTTAATCATCCCTTGCACCCTAATCATTAATTAACTATTTATAGAAGTCTAATTTTTTATAATGAGCAAGCCTTAAATAGTTGGACTTGGGACATGTATCATACTTCCCTATCTAAACTCTAACGGCAAAATCATAGGGGAGGATCAACCCCCTTCATCTATATTTGACAAAAATAGCCAAAATTGGGATGGGGATAAAGAGTTTCAGGTCGTTATAAAGTCTCCTTTTGTGATGTGCTTTCAGTTGGTTTGTTTTTCATCCTGGCAGAAGATATCTGCAAAAAAAATATCCAAAAACGATCCAAAAACGATAAAAAAACGATACAAAAACGATACAAAAACGAACATGTTGAAACGATACAAAAACGAACATGTTGAAACGATACAAAAACGAACATGTTGAAACGATCGGGTTTTTTATTTTACAGTTTTAATATCTTGTAATTTATAATCTTAAACAATGAACTTCTTTGTTGTTAATCCTGTACTTGATAGTTAATAAAATTTCTTACTTAAAGTTTAATTATTGATTATCTAATCCTCCTCTTGGATCATCTCTCCTTTTATTTCACCCTTAAATAATTATAATTAGCATAAAGATAAATCAACCAGTGCTTAGGGATCCGTTGAATCCGCAACATTTTAGCTTATGTATATCTCACAATATTTCTCCAAGTGTCAAGTCAAGAAGTGAAAGATGAGCTATATTGCAATTGTTAACGCCATCTTTAGCCTTGACAAGATCCAATTTGAAGACAGTGATATATATTTTCTGGAAATATCATTTACCACCCCCCCCCCCTTATCCACTTGAACTATTATTTTTGTTTTCCATGATGTTAAGAATGTGTGCAGAGATTGCAAGTCTATTAAAAGAATTTTTACCGTTGAATTAGATTAAACAAATGATTTTTTTGAGCTAAAAATATCAAATGAAAGTCTTAATTTTCATTTCTTCTTGCAGATCTTTCGATATCATTCTTTAAAATATATATAACCTTGTTTTAAGAAATGGAACATTGCCTGGAATCAATCTTTTATCTCAGAAGACATAAAATAGTATTCAAGATAATTTTATGCGTTTAGACGTTTTTCTACAAAATCTAAATACTTGATAAAATACACTTCTGACAGTTGTATTAGTGAAGAACTAAAAAAAATACTCACAACAGTTCGCTCTCGGTCCAGATGCTCCCTGGAAAAATTCATCGATTAGATAAGAACACAGAAATGGGATTGTTTTGCATTGTTTCGATTAGACCAAATATAATGGATTGATATGCATTGATTTGATGAGACCAAGAAATTCAGAGCTTAAAATTTGGATCCAGATCCGGATACATTGGATCATCATGATTTTGGCTTCCTGGATAAGCAAAAATATGCTGATCCACAGATCCAGATCCAGGGGGCAAAATATCAACCATATACTGCAAAAGAAAACTTGTTGCTTTCAGAACCCAAATCTGAACTGTTGAAAAAGATAAGTTATCAAAATATTCCTAGCTTTGATCTGGATCCAGATCTGGACCAGGATCCATTTTTTTCCAGTGTAAATCCGGATTTGCATCCAAATGTAATGGATCCCAATCTCTACAACTTGGCTAAAAGATTTTTTTGCAATTTTGGATCAGACCAGATTAATCAATTAATTACATTAATTAGATTGTACCAGGAAAAAGAGAATTTTCTGCAATGATAGGATCAGACCAAGAATATAAAAGTTGTCTGCATTTATTGGAAACCACAGAAATAGGATTGTTATAAATTGATCAGATCAGACAAGTAAAAAGGCATTGCTATGAGCTGGAAAAAAAATCAGATAAAACATCAAGGATATGTTTTGCTATGACGGATTCAAGGAAAAGAGAATTTTCTGCATTAATGAGACCAAACCAAGCAAAAGATAATTTTTTGCACTGATTAGATCAGACCAGAAAATAGAATGTTATGCATTTACTGAACCAGACCAGCGTGGCGTTATTTCTAGGTAAGCGTTAAACAAAGGTAGTAGATTCTACGCAGAAAATGTTCCGCGCATATTTTTGCAGTTTACGGCAATGCCCACATGAGAAATCTGGTATTTTATCTGAAATTTCAAAATAATAAATTATACTTATACACATAAAATATACACTAATTGCTGATACAATGTGCACATAAGTAATTAACTATACATTAAACTCTAATTATTTGCAAGTATCAGAATCTTAACAATTAAGTTACCCAAACTAAGCTGTAATATCGATCCCTAATGTTAAAATAATTGATTTTTACTGTTTGTCGCTCAGCAAAACTTGATTGATTCTCAGATATGAGAAATACTTTCACTTAATTTACTGTTTACATTCACAGATTTGTGCGCAAATGCCACGGAAAATTTGCTGTGTCGAGTCTACTACCATTATTTAACGTTTACCCAGAAATAACGCCACACTACAAGTGTTATTTTCTGTTTTCCGCCATTTTTTTTTGGGGGGGGGGGACCTAGGAGTATCTGTTTAAGTTTGTTTGATAAAATCCTCTTGGCCTTTAATAGTACTCTATGTTATAATACAATAATTAAATTATTGCAAGTCTCAAGTTTGAATATTTACTTACTTTGTCTCCTCTTCAATACGTCGAATATCATCTTTATTCAGGTCGATCCATCTATCCATCCAGGCGAGCAACTAAAAATAAAAGACATCACTTCTCTCAATTAAAAACTTTTTAATCACAAACTCTTGTTAAGAACTAATTCGTTCTTTAACCCATCTCCTAACAATCTCTCATCAGAAGGCATGTGGGGATTCAATTAGAGATTAGGGATCTAAAGTCAATCTCAGTCAACTAAATTTCATAATCTAAAAGTATTTTTATTTATCTAAACTTAACTCCTGGCTCCATTTTCATACAATCATCTATTTTAAATTTATATTAACTGCTAATTCAATTTTTTGAACTATTTTTTCTGAGCTTACAAAATTCTTTGCTTCACATGCCTTCCTTATATTCTAAAGCAATGCTTTTTTTAATTCCATTAAATTGATTCAGAATTCATCATATAATAATAATTTTATTTGCCATTATTATAAAATGAATTGGATAAGAATGGATTACAAATATGGTGTGTAGTATCATTGGACTTGATAATATTTACCTTTCTATGGAACATTTGAAGTGCCCTTTTCTGGTTCTTGAAGATCATATCTTCTGTTCTCTGTTGAACTCCAACCCTAAAAATATATTTTTTTACTTTACCCTATTTTAGGGTATAAATTTTTAAATTTTGAATATTTACATCACTGGAATTGAAGTTTGAAGATTTGGGTGTATAATTTGTTGGGGGTGGCATTAAAATTGGATAAAGGCTTGCAAGCAACCCATAATTTCATGTTACATAATTTTTCAAGAAAATGTATACTTCTACTTTTTTAACTTGTTTTTAATATTCACTGAATTGCCAAAATGATCTTTGCACCTCTCGGTAACTTTTCTTCCTTGCCAGGGGAAAACTTTAAAAAAGAACATATAAGTATACATTACTATATACACAGAATCTCAAAAAAATCATTTAATAAATGCCATTTTACATTAATCATATTAGTCTTACCCTGGAAATTTATTTAAAAATTTATCATTAAAAATACTATTTCAATTGAAATATATTAGTTACTTACATTGAAATTTCTGATGGCATTGAATTCTTTTAACCATAAATTTAAAATATATAATTTAAGGTATTATTTACAGCCGTGAGGAACTTTTTATTAAACGATAGTAATTTTATTACTTTTGTCTTGGATGGAATTGTTCGTTACTAAGAACGGAACAGGGGATTGAAACATTCTTGATTTAGAACAGAACAAGAGGGATGCAACCGTTCTTCAACTAAGAACGCCAAGAACCGAACGGAATGGGAAGACCGTTCTTCTACTCAGAACGGAACGGAACAGGACGGAACGGGATGGAACGGAACGGAATGGAACGGAATGGGATGGAACAGAACGAGAACGGAACTATACAAAAAGAGGAATGCGAACGGAACAATTTAGCTGAAGGCCCTCGTTCTAGAATGGAATGGAACAATTTCAAAAAAGTCGGAACGTGCCCAGCCCTACTTGGTGGACAATTACCAATGAAATTTGTGAGACAAATATCTTTGAAATTTGTGAGACACTTACCATTGAAATTTGATTTTTACAAGCTTGTACACTGTCATTACAGGAGAATCAGGGTTTTTCTAGAATAGCAAAGTTTTATCACTAAGAATGTTTAAAAATCCATATTAAACCCTTTCTAAAACTTTTCCTCAACTACAGTGTTTAGAGCCCCCTTTCATATTAAAAAATTCAGCTTTTAACCGTTGCTCTGAAGGTAGCTATTTTTAATCATTCCAGTCCCAAATTTTGGAGATTGTTTAGAGGGGGGGGGAGAAAGAAACGTATTACTCTCCGGGAAATTTAAACATAGTATAAACATAACTTAGCATTGCCATTTTTTGCATGCGAACTTAAAATTATGTATATTACATGCATTTTTTAGTTTTGAATGGATCTCAGCAAAAGTGTGCACATGCACGCGTTTTTTGTGAAAAATACAACTTTTTGACAGTAAATCAATACATCTTAGCACAGATTTTACATACACAAAACTTCCCGGAGAGTGTTAAACTTTCCCTTGAGTCATGAAAGTTACACCGTTTTGATGTTCATTGGATACATACAAACATATACTGACAGACAAGCAAAGTATATAATATATATATACATACATATATGGAAGAAATATATATTTAAACATCTAAAATGTATATTTAAACTGAAAAAGTTGAAAATAATATATATATGATGTATATATATAAATAGTTTGAGAATATCAATACAACCAACAAAGGAAAGTAAGAGACTTACAATTCAGTTTATTGCAAGTATACTAAGGGTTCCTAGCATACATTTTAAGAAAAACAATAATTAATGAAAGGAACTGGACAACTTTCCTAATTTGTGCTAAGAAATTTTTATTCAAAAATGAAAATAATAATAAAAGTATTTTTTGTTATATATATCTGTATGGAAGGGTGCAAAATATTTTTGTAAGAATTAACTACATTTTTATTATATGTAAAAATGCATTTTTCTACCAAACTTTTTTTAAAGTTAGTGTAAGGACGACCTCTAAAATGTTTTTTTCCTTTACCTTCCAGTCTGCAGGAATAGTACCTCCCGATGAGTTTGCACAGCTAGTGTTTAAACAGATTCAAATGTCTCCAAATTTTTCAAAAAGAACCATTTTTTAATACTTTGAATTGCAACTCACATTGAAAAAATCCCTTATAAAAGCAGTTTGAAAAAAAAACATCAATACACAGCAACATAAATAATTTTATTATTTATATTGAAAACACTGAAATTATAAATGTTAAAATCCCAAAAAAATTTTTTTAACTAAATAGAACATTTTAAGATAAAACCACCTTTTTTTCCAATAACTATAACTATAACTATAACTATATAGAAAATATAACAAATGGACAGTTTTAAGAAGTTCAATGATCCAATTCAAACAAAACATAAGACATTTTTTTAACACAGTCAACCTTCAGTTTTACTTTTCTTATCTGCTGAGTGATGAAAAATATTTCTTATTCGATTGAAATTTATTTTGTATCTGTTTCCTGGCTTGAAATTGTTCATCTTCTTCCATATCAATATAGACCACCTAATAAAAAAATTTTATGTGACATTTTTGATACTTGACCTAATTGTAAAAATAATTTCCTTACTTTTAAAATTTGTCAAAATATATACATTATATATTATTCATAGTTTGAAATATGAAAGGTAAACACATCAAGTTGCAATAATAAAATGATAAGAAAATTAGAGTTTGATGTATGTATTCAGATACTTTAATTGGTGTCATAAATTATGAAGAATCCTTGATATCTTCCTCAAACAAAAACCTCCATTTTGTAAAAATATTCTTTAATAAAAATGTTAAAAATGTTCTTTTGATCTAAATCTGCAATAATTGGTTCCTTTAATGAGTTATTATTTATGTAAGAGGTCTAAAATTTTTTCTTTCATTACATTGCTTTCATTTTGTATACAAAAGGATCAAATACAGGCCTATGTTTGGTTTATATCTTAACCGTGTACAAATTCTAGCACTAGATAATGATCTGGATCAGGATCCTTTGGATCCACAACATTTTAGCTTCCTGGATCAAGATAAAAATATACTGATCCATTAATCAAGATCTAAAGGGGAAAAAACTTGTTGCTCTTGGATCACAAATCTTAACTGTTAACTAGTGAGGGATTATTATAAACTTCCCAATTTCTAAATAGTTCATTAAACTTAAAGGGAGTGACAGGCAATGTATGCAGTATTGTGGACAAATTTTTTAGGACTCATTTGAGACATATAAAACATTTCCACTATGTACAATTACTGAGTTTGAGTGTAAAGTCTACGTTCAAAATCATGAATTTGGGTGGGTACGTTTTCAGAATCAGTTTTTTTATAATTTGTGAAATAATGATGACGAAAAATAAAGTAAAAATTCTACAGTGAACTAATAATTATAATTTCATTTTTAATTGCTGCTTCCCATTTGTTCATTATATTTTTAGGTTAAGAGTAGAGTTGTTCAATTCTAATTAACACTTAAATTGACATTGACACACCATTATGGTGATAATATTAAATATCCCTACACTCTTGTGACAAAGAACAGTAGATGTCACCTCTCTCTTGGCTAGTGTTTCTTGGTCAGCCTTGAGTGCATTCTCCAGAGGAGTCCGTCCTGCTACATGTAAACTCTCAATGTAGATGAAGAATGAATCCTTAAGATCATAAGTTGAACTTACTTTGTAAACAAAGTTTACAGATAAATTAATTCAAACTTTCTGCAATTTCATCCATTCATAATTTGTGTCTGAAATGTAATTTAATGTTTACAAGATACATATATATAAATATTTAGGTAATAGAAATTATGCTGATTTATCTGTAAACAGAAAACCATGCAAACAAAATTAGTTGAGACTAAGATGTATTGGTTGCTTGGAACATTTAATTGGGGATTTTAAAGCTGGTAGATCTGAAGAAATTCTGGATGTCCAAGTAAAAAAAAAGTTGATTGTTTTCTCTTCATTTGCTATTTTTCTACTTAAAGAGTAGATGTAGTAAGGTATATATTATTGAAAAACATCCCCCACCCCTCCCCTTGAGAATTATTACACGTTATTTTTTTTGGCAATTTCCAGAAACAAATAAGGGTTTTCTTTGCTGAAATGGGGGAGAAAAAATTTTTGTGAAAAATGTAAATAACCTTTAAGAAAAGAAGTAACAAAAAGACCAAAAAAATTGCAAGCATAACTTCAATTAATCAAAACTCAATCTTGATAATATGTACGGCTGGGACCCTGGGTACAACAAACATTTTTACAGGTAAGAAATTCCTGACAAGTTCATCAAACTAGCTAAACCTTGTTTGTAAGTTTTAAAAAATGGCTGAAGACCAAGGAAGTTATGTGCACATGCCTCATTGAATTACAAGACAGAGAGCATGTTCTAGCTGCAGTGCTTTGCTCCCTCGCCTGCCATAGCTGCAGTACTTTTCTCAAAAAGTACTGCAGCTAACCTAACCCAAAAATATATACTAGTGTCTATCTTCTTCTAATTCAATGCAGCAAGTGCATTTTACTTCCTTAGGCAAATGCCTAAAAAATGCCTTGAACTCAAATAAAACTGTAGAAGTGTAGATAATCATTAAATAATGGATGAGGGTAAATAGAAAAGGAAAAAGGAGAAGAAATCCCTACCCAAGCAGAAACTGAGAAACATTTGTCCAGCTTTTCATTTAGAGTATTTTATTCTCAGGTCATTAGAATTAATATATTTCCCCTGGACACACTTTCAAGTCCAACACTATACCTTCATAAACTCTGGGTTTGAGACACTAGTTCTGCAGTACGGATATGTATTCCATGCTTCCTCATGAACCCTACTAATAATTTATTAGAAACAAGGACTTTTGAATTGTCAGGAATCATTGAAAGCAATTAAGATTTGTATGCTGTTGTAATAAAAATTAAGTAAATTACACCTTTATTTACCAGAATCTTTAGTACTTAACAAATATTTAGATACTTTTTTGAGAAAAAATATTGAACAATTTTCACTATGGCTTCCATGTACAGCATTTTGAGGCAATTAAATCAGTCAAAATTGGCAATGTTGGGGGATATTTAATTAAGAAAACTGCCTTGCTGTGGAAAATGAGTTTTCTTATTTGAAGTCAATAGTCTATCATTTGATCACTGCCTGCATTTACAACTAAAGCATTTATCCAAGCATAAAAAAGATTAAGGTCAAAAATGTCTGGTCTTTTCTTCTTTTTCTTTCATTTACTTCCATAAATCTGTCGTAATATTTAAGATAACTTTATTAGGCATTGCATTGCCTCCCCCCCCCCCACTCTATTTTAGGTGTTAACAGGTTAAATTCCATACACACCTTCTCCCTCATTCACTTAGGTTATGCCTGAACTAATGTAACAAATTCTTATGAAATATAAGAAATTTCTATTTCTACAATAAAATGCTGTGCTAATCTAGAACTTTGCCAAAGCTTTAGCTAGCTAAATGCTGTTGCCATTTATTTTCAGATGTGGGGAGTGAGAAACCACAACAAATATGGAGGTATACTTGGTATTACAACATCAACAAATCATTTATTACAATAACAGTCAAGCTTTTAACTTCAAAAACTGAGTTACAACTTTCATCATTTTAATATGGAAAAAACTTATCATACAATATAATAAAATATATCAAAATATCTTGGTATTGACTCATACACTTTGTTATTAGAACATGCAGTGCATATTATGCCCATACAAGATATTGAAAACATACCTGGTGGCACTGGCAGGGGCTAGTATCCTTACCCAGGCTGGTAACTGAACAGAGAGAAAATTTAAATATGTTTGTCGTTTAAACTAAATAACAAAACTAAACCCAAATACAAGAAACAAACTTTTAAACTGGATTAAAAAAAATATTTTAGGATGTGGGTCACTGGTTGATTTTTGCCAAAATGTAAACCTATGAATTAAACTTAATAAAATACTAGCTGAAGTGCCCTGTATTGCCCGTAAATTTTTTTAAATATGAAAAGAATATTGAAAAAAAAAATTCATCTTGGAAGAACGATTTTAAAGTCTATATCACCCTGAGATACCCCTATGTTCCCTCAAAAATGTCAGCCTATATGGTACAGCCGTTTGGCCAGCTATAGCTGACATTTAAATGAGCAAAGAACTTTATTGTATAGAATAAATATTGGGGTGAGTATCAGGCTAATATTGATTTTGTTTCTATTCTAATTTGAAGACTTTTTTAGATAAATACATTTTTGTGAAAGTTTATAGAAACCTCAATATGATGTTTTTGCATTATTATTAACTTATTATTATCTTTATAATTGTTGAAGTGCAAACAATATTACAATTACTAACAACTGATATTTATCCACCTTATTAAAGAAATGGTATATCTTGTAAGTGTACTGCCCATCAGCTCCTTCTGTGTCATAGGTATAATTCTCAAGGATCTAAGTTAAGCTGGTCAAATTCAGATATGAATAAAACACTGACTGAGTCCCCCTTGGGTTCCAAGTGTGAATTATTCTCAAAAAGATGTTATTTTACTCAACTATCCCAAGGGACGGTTAGGAAACTTTACATCCTGCTGTTGGGGGAATCATGGATTGGTAATGTTGGTAAAAAGACAGTTAAAACATTGTAGTTGTAATCAATTTTACAGTCATTTGAGATAAAAATGCAAGAATTTATTCCCAAAAACTAAGCAGAGTGGGTAGTTATTTTAAAGAACTGTCCCAAGGAACTTTATCAGTTAATTTACTTAACCTCCCTCTGTTGGGGGAATCATGATCTGTAATATTAGTCAGTAAAAAATACTATTTAGTTTCCAAAAAGGGCTTTAATCTGTTTCTGTAACAATCAAATATTTGGAGTTCCAAGTGTGAACAAATCTTAAAATTGTTTTTTTTTTCCTATTTCCATACACTTAATAGCATTTCTTGCGTAAGTGTAAAACAAAACAATTTTTAAGAATCTGATCCATTTATGATGTTTAACTCCTCACCTGGACACCTTCTCCTCCACCTGTCTCCTGCTTGCTGGTCTCTGACACTGAGTAAAGCATACCGATCTGCACATTAAACAACAAACATAACATTTATAACTTCATGTAGCAATCATAAGATATATTATGTGCAACCCCTCCCCCACTTTCTTTCAAGTTTGTACTTGACTTTGATTTTTCGCACAAGACTAAGAAAATTAAATTATATCTTTTCTACACATATATCTAAATATATCTAGCTGGAGAGCTTAATCAAGCAGAACAGTTTCCAGACCAAGAACTAGGATAGGCTGGGACATTCTAGGGTAGAAACACTGTCCAGGGTGGGAACGCAGGGGGACCTTTAAACATTTATGAAATCATTTAATATGATATGGGGGAAAAATTTAAATTAGACATTAAAATGCAATTTTTTTCATTTCTTTAATAATATTTTTTTTTAATTCAGCAATTGAAAGCCAGAAAAAAAATTTATATCAAAAGGCTATGCTTTAATCCTTTCTATTACTTCATACCCTAGAATTCAGCAAATAAAACCTTCAAGTTAATTTTGCTGCTTTGCTTCGAAAAAAAATTTTAGACAGGGGTAAAGATTTTACAAGAAAGGAACTGAGTTTTCGCCCAAACTCAAGTTTTCTAATCCCTATTTCTTTGAATCCTGATGGTGTAAACCTTCAGGGTGGCCAAAACTTTTTTGAAAAAATCCGTACAAAAATCCGTACATTTTCAGAAAAAATCCGTACAATACGTACAATTTTCGAAAAAAAA